GGTTCTGGAATATGATTATGAGCCATGCATAGACCATGCTAGGGAGCATGCTGGATGGAGAGTTCTGTGGCAGTGAGATCCATAAAGCTGGCCCAGAGCAACTGGGAGCAGGACCCAGGCTGGAGAAGACACAGGAAGGTAGGGCCTGTGAAAGATTCTCTCCTCCTTCTCTCTCTCCTGGTGCCAGCATTGAGACTTGAACTCAAGACCTTGTGCTCTTGTGTGTGTGTGTGTGTATGCACACACACGCTGCCCCTGAGTGAACTGAGTTCTCTGAGGAACTCTATCACTTAAGCCACACCTCTACTTCCTTTTCTTTCTCTTCCTCTCCTCCTCCTTTTCCTCCTCCTCTTCCATTTCCTCTTCCTCCTCCTCTTCTTCTTTGGTCATGGGGCTTGAACTTGGGGCCTGGATGCTGTCCCTGAGCTTCTTTGCTCAAAAGTGTTCTACTACCTGAGCCACAGCCTCACAGCTTTTTGGGTGCTTAAATTGGAGATAACTTTCTTCACTGGACTGGCTTTGAACTATGATCCTATCTCAGCCTCCTGAGTAGCTAAGATTACAGGCATGGCCATCAGCATCTGGAAGGGCCTTGTGGTTTTCACTCCAGGCAGGGAACTCTACCACTTGAGTCACAGTGCCTCCACTTTTTTTTTTTTTCCCGGTCATGGGGCTTTGACTCAGGGCCTTGATGCTGTCCCTGAGCTTTTTTTTTTTTTTGCTCAAGGTTAACACTCTACCACTTTGAGTCACAGCTCCACTTCCAGTTTTCTGGTGGCTAATTGGAGCTAAGAGTCCCAGGGACTTTCTGGTCTCCCGCTGGCTTTGAACCATGATTATCAGATCTCAGTCTCCTGAGTAGCTAGGATTGATTACAGGCGTGAACCACTGGCACTTGGCTTACTTCTTTTTTTTTTTTTTTTTTTTGAGATGAGAGACTTTTCTGTCTGGGCTCCTTCAAATGGAGATTCTCAGATCTTAGCCTCCTAAAAAGCTAGGATTACAGCAGGTGTGAGCCTGTGATGCGTCGCTAAACTTAACCCACAGCTGTCAGAACACTTGGAATAGAGGAGAGAGCCTGCTGGCTGAACTTGCTGAGGACCACTTTGTTGCTGAGGTGAGAGGAGGCAGGTGTGGGTGGAATAAAGTCTATAACTCTCTAAGAAGCCATGGTGGCTTGGACCCCATGTTGTGGGGCCCTTCCTGGAAAGAAGCAGCTGGCATCTGCTCAGGGGCAGGGGGATGTGCACGGGCAAGTGAAGAGATGTGAAAGGTGATGTCAAGGACTTTGGTATAAGCCACTGGAAGGTTAGTAACATGGGGAAGATGGCTGTTAAAATGGTTTTTGGGGAATTAGGGAAGAAAGAATTAGAAAGAAAAAAACATAAGAGGAGAGAGAGAAAGGAAGGGAAGGAAGGGCAAAAAACGTAGAGTTGGCTTTACTAATACACTATAAGGAAATGACATTGTGAAATCTGGTTCTGGGAGAGCAATGGATGAGTTCCATGGGGAAAGTCCCAGACCACAGAGGGAAAGGACTGAAGAGCCTAGGCTAGTACCTGGGAGGACAAGGAATCAGGAGCAGGGGTATAGAAAGGTAGGGGGCAGGAGACAGGGAATTAGGGAGGTTGGGGGAAGGGAGGCAGAGGGGTCAGAAGGCAGGGGTCAAGGGAGCAGGCAGCCATTTTTCCAGCTGTCTTCCACGTTTCACTAAATGATGACTCCATTCTTTAGGTGGTTTAGGCCAAAGGCCTTACATACTGCAATCCCTGAGTGGATTTATACAATGTAGATATAAAACAAAGCCAGTTGGATTGTCTGAACGTAAGTGGGACAGGAAGGTCTGTCTTGTTTTCTAGACATAAACTAGAAGGTGAGTTTCAACATGAATCAAGAGCCAGGGTGGGCTTGGCTTTGGAAAGTTCTTTTCATGAGAAAGTTCTTTTCCTTTGAGAAACATGTTTTGACTACATTTAAATTTTTGTAGGCTGCAGCAAGAAAGTATTCCAGAGTGAGACTTTGACATTTATGGAGAGCTTTGTCTTTGGAAATGGCCTCGCTACACTTGGACCATTTAAAGGCATGCGACACCAACAGTTAGACTAAAGGAGAAAACCCTTAGAAGAGGAATTCTTCTGGACATGTAAACTACTATTTGTTGAAATGAATTCCAGGAAATAGAAATATAGATTTTTATGTTGTTGTTTGCTTTTGCTTTTTTTTTTTTTTTTTTTTTTTTTTACTTTTTAGAGGTGAGTGGAGGGGGGACACAGAAAGGGAGGGAAGAAGGGCAAACAAATGCAGTCATGGTATTCAGTATACACTATATGGAAAATGAACTATACAACTAGTGCATTGGGATGAGAGGAGTTGCTGGGGAAAAGAGAAGGAAGGAGTGACATTGCCCAAAATAGAAATGTTTCCATCACCTGCCTGGCATGGCCTTGGTTGAGGACACTTCCTCCTGAAGCTCAGAGGTGGAGCACATGCTTAGCGTGAGCAAGGCCCTGGATTTGCTCTCTAGCACTGCAAAAAAACGAAGCAGAACAAGATAATACAAAACACAGAATAAGAAGGAGTTTTTTTAATGGCCCAATGAAAGCTTGAATCTGGAAAAAAAAAAAAAGGTGTGGACTTTTTACAAATTGATCGCCAATTTTTTGGCACTTTGTTTATTCTGTAGCTTTTGTACTACGGTTAGGCCGTGCTGGCTATGCTATTGGAATCCTTAGCCTTCCCACTTGTTCACACATATATGATATGTATTATATATATGTATACATTATATATGTCTGTGTATCATATTATATATCATATATATCATGATATATATATATGATCTCTATATGTATATCATCTATATATCAGTCAGGTGAACCTAGGGCCATATACCCATCTCATCTTTTCTTTTCTTTTTCCTTGTCACAGTCTTTCCTTGATCATAACCTTTTGTGTTCAATCTCCCTGCCCTTAAGTTTGCATTTGGCTTTTGAGTCATAGTCTCACAAACTTTGTCTGGGCCTCAAACTCAAACTCCTCCTGCCTCTGCCTCCTATGTAGCTGGGATTATAGGCATATGCCACCTGACTCCCTTGTTGCCAATTTTCTAATCTTATTCCTTCCAAATCCTTTACCATTTAGGCAAATAGTTTAATACAGTCCATGAATTGGTGTATAGTTGCATACATATCTGGCACATTGTATGACCAGGTTCCTCTGCCCAAAGTTTTGCTCACTGGGAAGATTTCTCTTTACCATGTTCTGCCGGGATGTTCTAGAGAGTCTGTAGTGTGGCCAACTGTTATGTAGAAGTGATGCCCATGTATACCAAGGCTGAGAGTTCCTCTGTCAAATGATCCTAAGAAACTTCCTAAGCTATATGTTCAGCCTGAGGGAAGAAGGGAGTCTATCATGAATGGGGGGGACCATGGATATTTGAGTTATGCTTTTTGTAACATGCCCGTGCCTTCGGGACCTGCTTGGACCCAATCATGTATGTACAATTCCCATTTAATGCTGAATTATGTGCACATCTGACTTTATGGCTTGGTGTATCAGGTGATACACAGTTGGATATAGTTGGATACCGTTAGAACTGCTCAGGTCACATGATAGCTTGGTTGTCCATGGTTAAGTGTACAGTATCCACTAAAGTAGCAGTAGTAGGCCAAGAGCTGTTCAAAAATCCTACAAATCACCAATTGTAGGATTGCCAATGCCTCCAAAAACATTTTTTTTTGTTTTGCTGGTCCTTAGGTTTGAACTCAGTCTGGGCTCTGTCCCTAAGTCTCTCTGTGCTCAAGGCTAGCACCCTACCACTTGAACCACAGCACCACTTCTAACTTTTTTTCTGAGTAGTTTTATTGAGATAGGAGTCTCTTGGACTTTTCTGCCCATGCTGACTTTGAACTGCAATCTTTAGATCTCAGTTTCCTGAGTAGCTAGGATTATAGGCGTAAACCACTAGTGCCCAGACATTCTTTTTAAAAACTGTATTTATCTATTTATTTTTGAGATGGTATTGGGACTTGAACTCAGGGCCTGGGCACTGTCCCCTAGCTTTTCTGCTCAAGGCTGGCGCTCTACAAGCCCCACTTCTGGCTTTTGGGTGGTGAAGAGTCTCATGGATTTTCTTGTCCAGACTGGCTTTGAACTGGGATCCTCAGATCTTAGCCTCGTGAGTTAGCTGGATTACAGTGTGAGCCACTGCTACCCTGTTCAAAGAAAGCATTCTTATCTTCGGCCAACTCCTCAAACACTATTGGATGTCTAGGATCATATAACCTAAGTGTCAGAAAAGCCAGCATGGCAGCCTGAAGCACCTTCTCCTGTCCTGGATATCACTCAAGCCAGCAGCTTTTGGGGGTTTCTTGGCAAATGGGTTATATCATACTAAAGTGAGGAACATGTTGCTTCTGGAACCCAAAGAGGTGTGCCAGATGTTAGGCCTCCTTTTTGCTTATAGGAGGGGCTGCATGTAGAACCTACTCTCCTTAGAGGGGATGCCTTCACGTGTCCTGTACCACTAGTCCTTGGAAATTTCTGATTTCCTGATTTATTTATTTGCCAGTCCTGGGGCCTGAACTCAGGGCTTGGGCACTGTCCCTGAGCTCCTTTTTGCTCAAGGCAAGCACTCTACCAATTGAGCTACAGTGCCACTTCTGGCTTTTTCTGTATATGTGGTACTGAGGAGTCAAACCCAGGGCTTCATGCATGCTAGGCAAACACTCTATCACTAAGCCACATTCCCAGTCCCTCAGATTTATTCTTTCTTTTGGGGGGGAGGTCCTGTCATGGGGTCTGGGCCTGGGCACTGTCCCTCAGCTCTTCAGCTCAAGGCTAGCACTCTACCACTTGAGCCAAGTGCCACTTCAGGCTTTTGTTTTCTTCTGCTTATGTGGTGGTGAGGAATTGAACCCAGGGCCTCATGCATGCAAGGCCAGCACTCTACCACTAAGCCACCTTCCCAGCCCTTCAAATTTATTCTTTATTCTCCAACATGTAGATGTCTTACCAATAAGACAAAGTGGCTGCTCCCTTCTGCTTACCAGGTACAATCAGCATAATGTCATTGGTATCAGAGCAGTGTGGTATTTCCTGGAGAAAAACAGTGACCAAGTGCCCTATGGCATAGAGCTGGAGGGTTCATGGGCTCTGTGCAGAACAGTGAAGGTGAGATTTGGTGACAGATGGGAAAACGGCATCTGCTGAGTCAGTGACTGCTTAGCAGGTGCCAGGAATGTGTTAAGCAAAGGAACCACAGGTGGTATTGCAGCTGCAGATGGAGTGGCCACCTGGATAACCCAATGTACCTGTTTTCTATACAGGCCAATAGGCATACTGAGTGAAGATATGGTGGGGACTACCACCTCTATATCCTTCAATTATTGATGGTGGCTCTGAACTCTGCAGTCCTTCCAGGATCTTGTTACTGCTTTTGGTTTACAACGTTCCGAGTTTGAGACAGTTCTAACTGCTTCAGTTTGGCCTTTCTCTACATAATAACACTCATCCCACAGGTGTGAATATAATAATGTGACTATTCTGCTGGGTATTGAGAACATCTATTCCAATGATACATTCTAGAATGGTGACAATCACAAGACGGGTTCAGCTGTGAGGCAGCCTTGAGTTCAAAGTCCATGGGTCACCTGATCCATGGAAGCTCCTACTTTCACCATTGGGCTACAGTGATGTGTGGGTTTACTGGAATCAGGTCAGTTGCTTACTCGCTCCTGGTAGTTCCTGGACCGTCTGATTATCCCTTCATCTCAACACATGGCTAGCCTGGAACAAGACCATAGATCCCTTTGAGGAAGACTGGGAGAAAAGTTAATAGTGCAAATTCTCAGTAGTATTGGGATCTTTCCTTAAGGGGACCAGTCCTCTCATTAGAGGATCTCTAGGTTTGTTAACTGGCTGAAATTTGGAAATTCACTGAGGAATTATGATTCTTTCCTTTGTGTGTTTGCATGCCAATACTGGATCTTGAACTATAGGCCTCTCACTTACACTTGGCTTTGTCTGCTGAAGGCTGGTGCTCTACTTCTTTTAGCCACATTCCACTTCTGGCTTTTTGTTAATTGGGGATAAGAATCTTCGGCTTTCCGTCCTGGGTCGGCTTCTAATGGTAATCCTCAGATCTCAGCTTCCTAAGTAGATAGGATTACGTGTGTCAGCCTGTAATCCAACACCCTGTGAACAGTTATGATTCCGTTTTTTTAAAAAATTATTATTATTATTCAGGTTAGACTTGTTCACTTGACACAAAGCTTTTTTGCTTATACAGATCAAGTGAGACTCTAGTAGTCATCCTATCTCTTCTAGAAACTCTGTGGTCAACCAGCCAATACCAAAGGCCTGCATGAATTAGGCTATTCTTACTGCTGCCTGATTCTGCAGGTAACCAAGTCCATCCTGACTCAGCGAGTCATGGGCCAAAATTACCTGCACCGTCATTTTCTTAATTCTGCGACCACAGTTCCATATGTGAGGTCTGTTCCTCAGAGGAGCAATCCCACAGCACCTTGAGGATGCTGGGCTCCCCCCAGATTTATTTCTCACAATATTGGTGAAAGATATATCTTTTGCACCCTTCTAGTATGCATGGGTTTACCAAACCATTCCAATCTCTCTAAACTTTTGAATCTTTTCCTCTATACTAAACAAAGATAGAGCCTTTGCAATTTGCTCAATCTGGGCCATATTTTATGCCCCTGCTTGTGTATGTTTCTTTCTGAGAAATTAGGGGCTTAGAGCTCACTTGACTTGCTTGTATGGCACTCTAGCACCTGATCCACATCTGTAGTCCAGCTTTTTGCTGGTTATATGGGAGATGGGTCTCATTGACTTTTTGCCCAGGCTGACTTCAAATTGTGATCCTCTGGATATCAACCTCTTGAGTAGCCAGGGTTACAGCAGCTAGGATTATAGGCATGAACCACCGGCACCTGGCTTTGGTCTATGTTTAAGCCAACCTACCAAACAATTACTTTCTTTTCTGTTCTTTCTTTTTTTTTTTTTTGTCAGTCCTGGGGCTTGAACTTGGGGCCTGGTCTCTGTCCCTGAGCTCTTCAGTTCAAGGCGAGTGCTCTAACACTTGAGCCACAGTGCCACTTTCGGTTTTCTGGAGCCACAGTGCCACTTTCGGTTTTCTGGTGGTTAACTGGAGATAAGAATCTGACAGACTTTTCTGCCTAGGCTAGTTTTGAACCGTGATCATCAGATCTCAGCTTCCTGAGTAGCTAGGATTACAGGTATGAGCCACCGGTGCCTGGCTTATTACAACATTTTCTAACCCCAAGATGCTACATTGATGGCAAAATCTCTGGTTAATGAACCCATATCAAGCCAGGTGCTCATGCCTGTAATTCTAGCTACTCAGGAGACTGAGTTCTGACTATCACAGTTTGAAGTCAGCCCAGGCAGAAAAGTTCATGAGACTATGTCCAATTAACAACCAAGAAGTTGGAAGTTCTGCAAGTGGTAGAGTGCTAGTCTTGAGCACAAAAGCTCAGGGACATCTCAATAAGGAAAAAAAATAATGAAAAATACTCTCCCCTCCCTTGCAAAAAAAAAAAAAAAAAAAGAAAGAAAAAAAGCTCAGGGACAGTGCTCAGGCCCTTAGTTCAAGCCCCAGGACTGGCATGCGCATGCATGCACGCACACACACATACACACAAATGAACCCATATAAATAATTCCATCCTGATCCAATTCCATGCTCCTTTTGCCATTATCCCATACCTTGAATATCCTTTCCCATACATGCTCCTCCATTTGTATAAATTAGAAAAGTCAAGTGATTCTTTTGTAATGTAGCATACCTCCTCACAGCTCACACTTTGTACTTTGCTTTACCAGCCTGCAGGGACTTGAATCTAGTTAAAAGCTTGAAGCATGGGGCTGGGAAGGTGGCTCAGTGGTAGAGTGCTTGCCTTGCATGCATGAGGCTCTAGGTTCGATTCCTTAGCACCACATAAGCAGTGGTGCAGTGGCTCAAGTGGTAGAGCACTAGCCTTGAGCTGAAGAGCTGAGGGACAGTGCTGAGGCCCAGAGTTCAGGCCTCACAACTGACCGAAAAAAAAAAAAAAAAGCTTGAAGCAGAGGGAGAGGTCCCAAGGAGAGTCAGTGATATATTGCCTAGCAACTGCCTCAGGGAGGCCATGACAGCTTCCTCAGACTAGGGAAGGGTGGAGGCATGCAGGTGTGTGTGTGTGTGTGTGTGTGTGTGTGTGTGTGTGTGTGTGTGTGTGTGTGTGTGTGTGTGTGTGTGTGTGTGTGAGAGAGAGAGAGAGAGAGAGAGAGAGAGAGAGAGAGAGAGAAAGACCATGAAATCAGAAAGCTGCTTTCACATGGGATGGGGATATGGGGATTCCTTTTCTGCTGATAATGAAGACACAACACAATTTAGGAGCTTGATATTCCTTATCAGGGTTTCCCTACACAAATCTATTATAAATTACACTCCAGTGACTCCACTTTTACAACAATAATAGCACTGGGGTGCTGGGAATTCAATTTGCTCTATAGTACAGCCAGGCACAGGATGAGATTCTGTGTTTGATTTTCAGCAATCTCAGCCCTGTTGTTGCATAACATGAGTCTCTTTCAAGGCACATCTTGAAACCATCATCTGGCATCTTTTAAGTTGTTGTTGTTTGCCAGTCCTGGGGCTTGAACTCAGGGCCTGCGTCTATCCCTGAACTTCTTTTGTTCAAGGCCAACATTCTACCACTTGAGCCACAGTGCCACTTCTGGCTTTTTCTGTTTATGTGGTACTAAGGAACTGAACCCAGGGCTTCATGAATGCTAGGCAAGCACTCTACCACTAAACCACATTCCCAGCCCCATCACTAGCATTTTTATATCTAACTATATTATAAATTGATTCGTAAAACTTTGGAACCAATTTAGAAAACTCATGAGACTCTTCTGTCCTTCTTCTTTCTTTCCTTTTTTTTTTTTTGTCAGTCATGAGGCCTGAACTCTGGGCCTGGGCGCTGTTCCTCAGCTCTTCAGCTCAAGGCTAGCGCTCTACCACTTGAGCCACAGTGCCACTTCTGGCTTTATTGAATCCAGGGCCTCATGCATGCAAGGCAAGCACTCTACCACTGAGCCACCTTCCCAGCCCTCTTACTTTGTTTTTTGTATGTGTGCCAGTACTGAGTTTTGAACTCAGGGACTTGAATTCTTGCTTAGCTTCTTTTATTTCCCCCCTCCCCCCCCCCCCCCCCCCCGACCCAAGACCAACACTCTATCACTTGAGCCACACCTCCACTTCTGATTTTTTTTGCCTTCAAACCTCAATTCTCAGATTTCAGCATCGTGAGTAGCTAGGATTTATAGGCATGAGCCACCAGAGTCTGGCTAGAATCAACCTTTTCTTTTATATTTTTTGTATGTATTTTTTATTGTAAAGATACTGTAGAGGAGTTACAGTTACATAAGCTAATGAATACATTTCCTATTGAGCATTGTTACCTCCTCCTCCTTTGTTTTTCCTCCCCCCCCCCCACCCCAAGTTGTAAAGTTTGTTTTCAACATAGTGTCTTGTACATCTCTAGTTATAACGGGTCAACCTATATCCTTTTTTCAGCATTAAGGAGACTTTTAGCCTAAGATTTCAGAAGTTTTAGCCCCTGTTCAGTTGGCTTATCCATTCTAAGTCTATGGAGAGGCAGTACAATATAGTGGTAGCATATAATACAACAAAGCTGCTCACCTTAAGGTAGCCAGGAAGTAAAAGTGAGGTAGAAAGGTAGGGCTTCATCTGATTACGGCATGCTGCCTATGACCTAACTTCCTCCCACCTGGCCCCCCTTTTTAAAGTAGGACAACAAAACAGTGTGCATATTCTGCTCATCATAGAACCCCTCCTAGGACCAAAATTTATGTTAAGATTCTCCAAGAAAACAAGGTAGGATTGGTTAACCTGTGGATGAAAACCAAAAGGTCCCATGATCTTTAGTCTGCAAACTGGATGCCAGGAAAGCTGGTGGTATGGGCCTGTGAACTAAAGGCCAGGAGAGCCCTATAGTCCCTGCTGGGCAGACAGGCAGCAACTTCCCCTTCTTGAGCTTTTTTTTTTTTTAATCTATTCAGGCTTTCAGTGAATTGGTTGATGGGGTGGTTTGGTGTCTGGCTACATTGGGAGGAAAATCTGCTTTCTAGGTCACTGATTCAAATGCCACTCTCATTCAGAATACCTTGCCAGCCACACTCAGAAATAACATGTAATATAGACATCCTGTGTTCCAGCTGATATATAGAATTAACCACAATAAGTACAAAGACCTTCCAGTGGCATTCAATCTGAATAATTTCATTTCTAAAACAGTAAGAATGAAAAAAATGGACTATCTTGAATAACATACTTGCTTCTACACTATTATTTTGAAGTTCCACTGAGAAAAAAGATTTCTACCCCTGGAATCTCTTTTGTATATGTACTTCTATACCTGGAATTGCTTTGTATTTATGAAGGAGAAAAATAACATGATACAATGATGTATATTTGTGTAAAAGAGTGAAACTTTGTAAGTGTGGCCTAAGGCCAATGTAGTTGAGACCTGGAAGCTTCATAACCTAAACAGAGAAGAAATATACCAATTACTATTGAACTATTGTTACTGGTTAACTTCAGAGAAAGTTAATCACTGACAAAGCTTCAGTCATAATGAAAAATATTAATGGTATTACTACCATGTGCCAGTTTATATGTAAAATTCTTCTTTTTTTCTTGTTACTAGATCAAAGAAAACATTTAAATTTGTGTTATTCTTGGATGATTTTCTTCTCATTTCTCTACTTAATTTTTTCTGAATAGAACTTTGGTGTTTCAGTGCATCTTGCAAGTTCAGATCATTAACTCCTTATTTTCTCCCATAGGAACAAGAAAATGGAAAACAGAAAATATTTCATTTGTGCCAGTATAGGGGCTTGAACTCAGGGCCTGGGCCCTACCCTTTAGCTTTTTTGCTCAAGGGTGGTGCTCTACCACTTAAGTCACACCTCCACTTCCAGCTTTTGTGCTGGTTGGAGATAGGAGTCTCACCCACTTCCCCTGCCCAGGCTGGCTTCACACCAATCTTCAAATCTCAGACTCTTGAGTAGCTAGAACACAAGCATGAGCCACCAGTGCCCTGCAACAGGAACATTTTTTTGTATATGAAATACCCATGTGTTTGCCTTTGGGCTGGATGGTTTTTAAAGGAACCTTCCAGAAGACATACTTTATGATTTTGTATCATGACACACAGTCCACACTAATTCCATTGCCTTACTGCCTTGTGTACAAAGTGTATTTCTGCCCCAGGGCCTTTGGTCTTGGTGCTCCCATCTCATGGATCATTCCTTAGATGGGCATGGCCAATTTGGTCACTTATGTCCCTGCTCAAATATCACTTCCTCAGAGCAGCCTTCCCTGATTAGTCCTTCTAAAAATAGTGTGCTGTCATTTTCCTTTAGCTTGCAAGCTTTCCCTTCGAAGCATTCTCACTGTGTGGCTGATGTACTTGTTTGTCTTAGCTACTAGAACACAAGGTCTATTAAGGGGACCTAGGCTTCATGGTACACTGCTATAGCCTCAAAATGAGGCTATAATAATGGTCCAAAGTATAGTTCTTGAATTAACTGAATGAATTGTAGTTTGAGTTTAAATATTCACCTTTTTTCCCTTCCCCAATTGAGACAGTAAATTCATGGAAGGCAGCCAAAGGCCCTGGTTGATTGTTTACCTTCTCTAAAGCAATTACCTGAGCTCTGCCTAGACCACTGACACCAAGATTTGCAGAATGCTTTGAACCATGGGGAAGGTCACAGCCTGGGCCAGTCAGCATTCTTTGCTGCTTTCAGCCAGCATTTACATTTTTACAAAATTTATTATGTTCACTCACTTTATCACTTGCCAATACTTGAACAGTTCTTACCATTATCTAAGAAAAAAGCCTTCAACTATTAAAAAAATTATTTCTGGTGTGCACTAACTTTAAGTACTTTTTTTAGTCTTATTTTTTATTTCATTTGTACTAGTACTGGTGCTTGAACTGAGGGCTCAATTTTCACCTGACTTTTTCTCTTAAGGATGCACTGTACCAGTTGAGCCACAGTGCCACTTTTGGCTTTTTTACTGGCTATTTGGACATGAGTTAAAGATTTTTCTGCCCGGGCTGTCTTCGAACTCCAATCCAGCTTCCAGAGCAGCTAGGAGTAGCCTGTGTATGTTTGTGTGTGTGTTTGTATCAGTGTTAGGCTGGCTGTGTGCTATTGTACATTTGAAAAAATACATGAATAGACATATAATTATGTGCTTGTATTATAACATGTGTATGTGCATGGAGAAATTTTGGCAAGAATGTTTCACAGTCTTCACGGTGGGTATTTCTAGCTGGTGGGGTGTAGGTAATATTAGTTTTGAGGGCCTCTCATTTTTCCTGTATGAATTTTTCTTTTTGGGGGTCTGGTCATGGGGCCTGAACTCTGGGCCTGGGTACTGTCCCTCAGCTCTTCAGCTCAAGGCTAGTGCTCTACCACTTGAGCCACAGCGCTACTTCCGGCTTGTTTCTTTTTGCTTATGTGGTGCTGAGGAATCGAACCCAGGGCCTCAGGCATGCAAGGCAAGCGCTCTACCACTGAGCTACCTTCCCAGCCCCTGTATGAATTTTTAAAACAAGTTTGAAGTCATCAAATGACATTTCTTTTTTTTTGTTTCTTATTTATTTTTATGTTATTTTATTGCCAATCCTGGTGCTTGACCTCAAGGCCTGGGCACTGTCCCTAAGCCTTCTTTTGCTCAAGGCCAGCACTCTACCACTTTGAGCTACAGCACCAGTACAGGCCTTTTCTGTTTATGTGGTACTAAGGAATTGAACCCAGGGCTTCATGTGTGCCAAGTAAGCACTCTACCACTAAGCCACATTCCCAGCCATCAAGCACCATTTCTTTTTTTGCCAGTCGTGGGGCTTGAACTAAGGGCCTGGGTCCTGTCCCTGAGCTTCTTTTGCTCAAGGCCAGCATTCTACCACTTGAACCCCAGCACCACTTCTGCCTTTTTCTGTTCATATGGTACTGAGGAATTGAACCTAGGGCTTCATGCATGCTAGGCAAACATTTTACAACTAAGCCACATTCCCAGCCCTCAAGTGTTATTCTCTACTTTTACTGGTTCAGCAAAAACAAAACAAAACAAGGTCTTCCTAGGTGTGCAATTCTTATTTTGACTAAATCTTTTACTGATTTCTAGTAAAGCAACAGCAATTAAGAAATAAGATGAACTAAAATTCTGAAGGGCTGTCTTTTCATTTATTGCCATGGTATTCTTTCAAGAAGAAAAAAAAACATTTCATTGATAGCTTTTCATCCTTCCCATTACCCCACGCAAACAGAACAAAACAAACAACCCTACCCAAACCTTCTAGGATACTGAGTTTTGGAACTCGAAAGCCGACATTAAGTGCCAAGGATTTGTTCTGGAATTTTCACCGAACTGAAAGGCACATGTGAAATATGCTCACTCTTCTTTCTTCTCAACGATTTTTAACACTGAAATGTCCTATTTCTCCCCGCCCCCCCCTCAAGGACTGGAAAGACAGCCAAACCACCACCTTCTGGGAAGGTACAAAATGGTCACTTTACCAAAAGGGCCGTTGGTGCGCGTACAGGTAACCGCGGTGTCTTTACGGGCTGCGTGTGTGCGCGGACAGGTGTGTGCGGCGAGTGGTGCACGCCTCCCCCGCGGGAAGGCAGAGGCGCGCGCCGCCGCGCAGGTGGGCCCCGCGCCCGCAGGCCCCGGCGGGGTGCGCAGAGCCCGCACGCCAGGCGGCGGCTCGCGGCCCCCGGCCAGGGCGCCGCGGGGCGGGGCGTGGGGGGCTGCGAGGACCTGCGCAGCCGCGCGCGCGCGGGACCCCGGCGCGGGTGGGGCGCAGGGACGCGGTGTTCCCCTCAGGGGGCGTGTCCCCACCCTACCGGGAAAAGTGCGCAGGCGGGCGAGCGGGCAGGCCGGCAGGCAGGCCCGACGGCCGGGGCGGGCCGCCGGGAGTCCCGGAGGCCGCCGACTGGGGGAGGCGACGGGGAGGGGCAGGGGCGGGACGGCACCGCCCACGGCCTCTTCCCCGCGGAGCTGGCGGCGACCTCGTGCGGCCTCCGCCGTCTCAGCGGGCAACAAGCGGAGCCGGGCGGCCGCGCGCGCGTCCGAGGCGCTCGGACACCCAGGTACGTGCGGCTCCGGCGCGGGAACGGTTGGTCCGGGCGGTTGTGGCTCCGCCGCGCCCGCCGCGGCCTCTGACGCACGGCGCGGCCTCGGGGTGCGGGGCGAGCGGTGGCGGGGCGGGGCGGGGCAGGCGGAGCGCGGCGGCCGACGGGAGGGCGGGGCGGGGGGCGGAGCGAGGGGCGGGGCCGTCCAAGGCTCCGCCCCCGGGCCCGGAGCAGCGAGGACGCTACGGAGCAGGCGCGTCCTGCCGCCGCCGCCGCTGCTGCCGCCGCCGCCGCCGCCGCCGCCGCCGCCGCCGCCGCTGCCGCTGCTGCCGCCGCCGCCGCCGCCGCCGCCGCCGCCGCTCGCCCTTCCCCACAGCCGCCGCCGCCATTTGCACGGGGACCCCAGTGACAGGCGCTCGGCGGAGGGGCGGAGGGAGGGGGGGAGGGCCCGCGGAGCCCCCGAAGGCGGGAGCGACGCCGCCGGCGCCGGCCGGGCCCCCTGCGCGACCGCGCCACCCGCGGCCGGCCCCGAGCGGCAGCAGCAGCGGCAGCAGCAGCGGTAGCCGAGGCCGGGCGTGCGCCTGAGGCGGCGGCGGCGGCGGCGGCGGCCCTGCGGGAGGCCGGGAGGGGCGGGGGCAGCGGCCGCCGCCGTTTGATGGATCCGAGGATCGCCTGGTTCCAGCCAGAGCAGCTCGGACCGTCCAACAGTCTGTGGATGCAGATCTGGGAGACGACCCAGGGGCTGAGGAACCTCTACTTCAACCACCACTGTCACAGCAGCGGCGGCGCGAGCGGCGGCGGCGGCGGCGGCGGAGGCAGCAGCACGGCCACAGGCGGGAGCGGCAGCAGCACCGGCAGCCCCGGCGGCGCGGCCCCGGCCCCGGCCCCTGCCGGCATGTACCGCTCCGGGGAACGCCTGCTGGGCGGCCACGCGCAACCCGCGGACCAGCGGGACTTCCTGCCCCTGGAGACGACCAACAACAACAACAACCACCACCAGCCCGCGGCCTGGGCCCGCCGGGCTGCAGCGGGCCCCTCGGCCTCCTCGTCCCCCTCGGCCTCCTCGTCCCCGCACCCCTCAGCCGCCCTCCCCGCCCCCGAGCCCGCCGATCAGGCGTCTGGCAGCAGCAACAAGAGGAAGCGCGACAACAAGGCCAGCACCTACGGACTCAACTACAGCCTACTGCAGCCCAGCGGAGGGCGCGCCTCCGGGGGCGGCCGGGCGGACGGCAGCGGGGGTGTGTATAGCGGTACCCCGTGGAAGCGGAGGAACTACAACCAGGGAGTCGTGGGGTGAGTGCTGGCCCTGCGGCCTGCTGGCGGGGCTGGTGCACACGCGCAGCCGAGCACACGCCCACAGAGGGGGTGGGGGCGCCCCTCCGAGGCCACCCCCACGGCCAGCCAGCGATGCTGCTGCCGCCGCCGCCGCCGCTGCCGCCGGTGTCTGGGAGACCAAGGGCTCTTCTACCATCCCCCAGCCATCCACGCCTTCTTGGGCCCTCACCATCCACATCCTCCCCTGCCCTGCCTTAGTCATTCACACCTTCCTTCTCCTCCCTCCAGTCGTCCACACCTCCCCCGACCCCCAGAACTATCCACTCACTCCGCCCATCCCCCATAGTCTAACCTGCCGCCCCTCCGTGCTCTCCAGCCTCTACACCTTTGACTCATTACACCCGTTCCTAGCACGGACCGAGCACCCATTTCCTAAGAGCCTTCCTTTGGATGGTTCAGGACCTGGAGGTGCTTTCCTTGCCAAGAATAGAAGCATCCAGAATGCTCCTCCCCCTCCCCCAATCGCAGACTGGAATCTTGTTAGCCCTGAAAGGCATTGCCTTTCAGTCTTTTTTTTTTTTATACTTTTATTAAATATATATATGTATATACAAAGCATTTTTATATAATATATATTAACTAAGTTAAGGCTTGGTGTTGGAGAGCTCTTCTGAGCCCTGATAGAACTTTCCAAGAGTTCATGGTGGACAGTGACTTCTCAAGGTAAAGTTGTCAAGCAAAGGCATCAGTGCTTTCTTTTTAGGGCTAACTATGTTAATGAGTGAATATTGCACCACTCATTTTGTGTTTAAAGTTCAGCTCTTACAAAATGTAATCTTACCTGACCCCTAGTGAATTATGTACATAAGCTGGGAATGTTTCCAGCTAGAATTCCCTTCTGGAAGAGCCCCTTTGCTGGATTGGATTATTGAGTCTATTTTGCGGTGGTGGTGGAGAAGTAATGCTTTTGAATCATGGTATGTATGTGTGTAATTTGAATTTGAAAAACTGGCTTTCACATTGCTTTTCAAATTCTGTTTTATGTTGAGGGCCAGAGTACACAAATGAAACCACCAATTTTCCTTTGTGAACCTTTTCTTAGATTCACCCATTCAGATCTGTCCCAAGTGTACTTTTTTGAAGGTCTAGGTAAAATGAGTTGGTGGGCACCAGCTGCTACTAGTGGGTTAGTGTCTGCTCTGTGCGATTTCAGCTCCCACCTTTTAGGGAAAGTTCAGTGGTGTGTTTGAGGATGGTGCAGGGGAGTGTGTCTGATGTGCCTTCACTTTCCAGAGGGGGATCCTCAGGCTAGAGTCCTCCGGTGCTCAGCTTCAAGGGCGCTCTCCATGGTCATCACACTTTATTAAGGGCTTGTGGTTCCGTCCTGTTAGCATTTCCAATTTGAAGTATAAACCTGTGGTTTAGTGACAGGCAAACTGATGCAGTGGGGTTCTGGTATTTCCTTTTTACAGGAATAAGCTCCAGTTAAGCAATCAGGGTCAACTAAAACATTGAAGTTCCTTAACTGCATTTTACTAAAGCCTCATTACATATGTTTTTAGAAAGGATTCATTATAAATCCAAAGTTCTGGCTGTTGCTTTTTTGATAAATTAGAAATTGCTTTTTAATGTAAAGGATACTGTAAAACATTTGAATTTCTGTAAGAGAAGAATGTCCTTGTATTTTATTCAAATAGTATATTGTCCTGTAAGGGATTAGGAGAGGAATTTTCATTTCCCAGAGGGATTATGGTTTAAAAACTGATTGTAAACCTGTTCTGTGTGTGTGTGTGTGTGTGTGTGTGTGTGTGTGTGTGTGTGTGCGCGTGCGCGTGTGTGTGTGCGCGTGCATGCGCACGCTTACCAGTTCTGGGGCTTGAACTCAAGATCTGGGTGCTGGCCCTGAGCTTTTTTGCTCAAGGCTAGCTAGCACTGTACTACCTGAGCCACAGCTCCATTTCTAGCTGCAGCTTTTTTTTTTTTTTTTCTTTTTTGGTAGCTAATTGGAGGTAAGAGTCTCATGGACTTGTGTCCAGCTTGGGCTGGCTTCAAACCCCAATCCTTAGATCTCAGCCTCCTGAATAGCTAGGAATACAGGTGTAAGCTACCAGTGTCCAGCTTGTAAACTTGTTTTTAATGGCTGCCCGTTCTGCTTCTAAAGAAGATGTCAGTGTTAAGTAAAAAAAATTCATTCTGAGATCTAGTTTCAAAAACTGTATTAAGCATTGCCTAAGTGTTGTTTTTTTTTTAAGAGCCTGTGGATGCTTAATGATTCTAGTTTTGACTTAGAGCTCCTTATTTCTTAACTTTGAAGGAAGCTTTGCTGCTTTTTATACAGGCATTTAAACAATCTGAATTCAGAGCATACCTCAGTGTTTTGTTGCTCTACACTATACATAGTAAAATCATTTTTCACATTTTCTGTTTTCTTAGGCTGTGACTGATCCTTTGCTAATAGACTAACAAATTATGTGTGGTTCCTGGCATCTGAGTTGGCTTAGTTAGATGTGAGAAGGTGGGACAAAGTGTGAAAAGTAGACTAGAGCTGCTTGCTTATGTCTTGGTGGTATCTGAACCAGCCAAAACTGGTTGATGGATGAGTTATCCCACAAACTCACCTTTGAAGCATGGCACAAAATCCTGTCTTCTTCCATTCCCAACTTCTAGATTTTTTTTTTGTTGTTGTTCTTTCTCAACTCTTTAAGTACTTGCTTCATGTTCTATAGAGCAAACTGTCTTTTTCTTTATAGGTAAATGTTCCCTCTTACCCACTAGATAGAAATATCTCAGCCACGTGCCGCTGGCTCACACCTGTAATCCTAGCTACTCAGGAGGCTGATATCTGAGGATCGTGGTTCAAAGCCAGCCCAGGCAGGAAAGTCCATGAAACTCTTATCTCCAATAAACCACCAGAAAACCGGACGTGGCGCTGTAGCTCAAGTGGTAGAGTGCTAGCCTTGAGCTGAAGAGCTGAGGGACAGCACTCAGGCCTAGAGTTCAAGCCCCATGACCAAAAAAAGAAAAAGAAAAAAGAAATATCTCCTACTCTTCCTCTCTTCTCCTTCCCCCCACCTTCCTCCTTCCTTTCACCCTTCCTTCTTCCTTTCCTTCCATCCACCTGCCCTGGGCTTGAACTGGGAGTCTGAAGGCTGATGTTCTATCACTTGACTCATAGCTCCACTTAAGCTTTTTTTTTTTTTTCCCCTGGTTATTTAGGAAAGTTTCAAGGACTTTCCTGTCTCAGCTGGCTTTGAACTGTGATCCTCAGATCTTAGCCTCCTCTATAGC